ATCCCCACTGTATCGGAGTCTCTCCACAGCCCTTGTCCGTGACGGACGGAGCAGAGAGGCGGGCTGAGTGTAAACTGGGCGTGGAGGCCTCCGTCTCAGCGAGGCCCGCCCATGGAACCGTGGAGGGACAGATGGCACAGGCACGGCGCGCCCTGCTCGGCTCACCTGGGGATGCTGGTCAGGTAGGTCACGACATTCAGGAAGTCCTCCTCTGGGATGTGTCTGAACCCTGCAAACTCTGGGAAAGTGATGATGGGGGCACCGTCCTTGCCTCGGCCTCCTGCCAGCGCATGGGCAGGTGTTAGCCAGTATCCGCACGTCAGCCTTCTCCAGGCGAGTTTGAGCTCAGGTCGGGAGAGGGAATACTGCCTCACCGCTTCTACCTCCACTATTTCAGGCTAGAATGTGAAAGGCAGTAACACAAGTTTTTTAAAGTTTTTGCCATAGGGCACGAGCACTTACCACTTGCAAGCAGACAGCGACAGAGAGGGAGGGGAAGTGAGAAATCGCCCCCAGTGGGCATGGACATGCTGCAACCCCCTCTCCTCCATTCCCGTGGGGCTGGGGCATGCACAGGACCAGGGCATCTCTCAAGCCACCAGGTCCAGGATTTGGCTGCAGAGTTGGCTACGTGGGTCTAGGGCCTTAACCTCGCCACCTGTTGGTCCATCACTGAATTACTTTTTTTTTTTTTTGGAGAGATTTTTTACTGTAGGGCGCGTGTGCTCGCCAGACAGACAGAGAGAGACATAGAGACAGAAAGCGAGAAATCACCCCCCAGGGGGGATGGTCACGCCGCAATCCCTTCTCCTCCATTCTCCTCTCGATCTTGGGCACGCACGCACACGCGCCCGGCGTGAGTTTTAAGCCACTGGGTCCGGGACACAAACCGCGGTCGACTACGTGGGAGTCCAGCGACATAGCCATTACGCTAACTGCTGGTTCCCCATCACTGAATTACTTTTAACAAATCTCTTCATGCATACTTGATGGTAAGAACGAGAGAGACAGAGACAGAGAGAGGCGACACCCCCAAGACCCACCGTCCAACCCAGCCCTCAACTAGCCAGGATCAAAAAAAAGAGCATGCCCCGTGTACACAAGGAGGTCTCCGGACTTGAACCAGGAACCTTTTGAGGTGGGACTGCCTCTCAGAGCATCACGCTTCACTGCTATGGTATCGCCTGGCTCCCGGAATTCAGTACTTGAGTCCTTTACAGATGATTTCGTTATGAAAGGTAACACTGATGGGCAGGTGGCGTGGTGGGGAAGGCAGCAGACTCCCACATGGCTGACGGTGGGCCGAGTCTTGGACCCTGTGCTCGAACATCACTGCAGCTGTGCGTGTGCTTCCCAGAATCCCAAGCGGCAAATGGAGTGGAAGGAATTATGACATGGCATCCCCCCTGGGCAGCAATGTCTCACTCTCCCTCTCTCTGTCTCCGGGGAGAGCATGTACCCTATGGCAAAAACCTAAAACAATTTAAAAAGGTGACGCAGATTAGGTAGAATAGTAAGTAATACTAACACAAACACTGCCCCTCACTGTTGGAGTCAGTGAGTAGTCAAAGGTGAGACCACATGGTATTGCAAAGAGTTAGTTCTAAACTCAGACAGGCTGGTTCAAATCCTGCTTTGCCACTTAACTGCTGAATGATCTGGGGCAAGATGTTTAACCTAAGTAGGAGTTTCCTCATTAATACACACACACTTCCTCTGTGTGTATAAGACAATACTTGTACCTGTGTCAAAAGACATTGCAAGGGACCAGCAGTGAGCGTAATGGCTATGTCGCTGGACTCCCACGTAGTCAACTGCGGTTCGAGTCCCAGACCTGGTGGCTTAAACTCACGCTGGGCGCATATGCATGCATGCCCAGGATCCCGAGAGGAGAATGGAGGAGAAGGGATTGCGGCGTGATCATCCCCCGTGGGGGGCGATTTCTCGCTTTCTGTCTCTATGTCTCTCTCTGTCTGTCTGGCGCGCGCACGCGCCCTACAGTGAAAATCTCTCCAAAAAAAAAAAAAAAAAGATACTACAAGGGACCAGCAGTTGGCGTAATGGCTGTGTCACTGGGCTCCCATGGGGTCGACCGTGGTTCGAGACCCAGATCTGGTGGCTTAAACTCACAACTCTTGCTTTGTGTGTCTCTCTCTCTCTGTCAGTCTGGCGAATGCACATGACCTATAGCAAAAACCTCTCAAAAAAAAAAAAAGGGAACCAGCAGTTAGCGTAATGGCTATGTCGCTGGACTCCCACGTAGTCAACTGCGGTTCGAGTCCCAGACCTGGTGGCTTAAACTCACAACTCTTGCTTTGTGTGTCTCTCTCTCTCTGTCAGTCTGGCGAATGCACATGACCTATAGCAAAAACCTCTCAAAAAAAAAAAAAAAAGGTATTGCGAGGATTAAGTGAAAACACAAAGGAAAACCACCTTATCAGAAGGCTTATTGTATTTAAGTATTCAATAAGGGGTCACCATTATTTTAATTATTATTACAAGGAGAAATGATCTACCCTTCAAGAATTTATGAAGAGGGATAAAAGACATCTCAATGAGAACAAAAATATTAATATATAATTTGTAAGATCAGAGGGCATGAAATGAAGTGAAGCAGGTTACTTCCCAACGTACGGCGACGCTCTGGTCCCTCACTGTGGCAGGTGCCCGGGGAGCCACAGGAAACGCCCAGGAGCACCACGGGCACTTAACATTTTACAGGGAGGCGGAGACCCCGATGTCTGTCAGACGTCGTGCGTGCTCCTCGCTAAGATGGCTCACAACTCAGATAAGCCTCTCTATATCCTTTTGAATGGCACTGCAGCTTTGTGAGGCTGGATTTTTGATGGCTGTTGGGATAAAGAGCAACCACAGCCTAAAAACCAGCATGGGATGGGACCAGCAGTTAGTGTAATGGCTATGTCACTGGACTCCCACATAGTCGACCGCGGTTCACGTCCCGGACCCGGTGGCTTAAAACTCACGCCAGGCGCGTGTGCGTGCGTGCCCAAGATCTCGAGAGGAGAATGGAGGAGAAGGCATTGCGGCGTGACCATCCCCCCTGGGGGGTGATTTCTCACTTTCTGTCTCTCTGTCTCTCTCTGTCTGTCTGGCGGGCGTATGCGGCCTATAGTGAAAACCTCTCCAAAAAAATAAAAAATCAGCGTGGGACAAGAAATGAGGGTGGTGTCATCCCGTCTGATTCCATCTCTTGAGGTGACTCTGGCTATTTAGGAACGAAATGGGGAAAAATGCTGTCTCCCCTTCTTCCAACAGCTAAGTTGTTAGGACATTGGCTTGGGTTGTCAGAAGAGTCATGACGTATTTTTTACATGGGTTGTCAGAAGAGTCATGACGTATTTTTGTGTCTTTCTACACAGAAATGCATGCTGGTTTTTCAACAATCCAGGACGCACCGTCGTCTGAATGTCAGTCGCTGCCTTTGGTCTAGGAGGGCTGTGAGAACATGACGGAGGGAAGGCACCGAGGACCGAGGACGTTTGGGACCTCTGCCCTAGCCAGCAGGATCTGAGCTCCAGTGCTGCGTCACCTGCCAGGGTGGTCCTTGGAGGGCAATCACTCCCAGGTCAGGGCCAGCTACAGAGAACTGTGTGCCTTTCATGGATCTCAGAAAGACACGTGTGTGGAGTGTGACTGAGGAGTGTATAATTAGCTAAGGTGATCAGTGAAGCGACTTCAGAAAAGGGAGATTCGGAGAAGCGAAGGTGGACAGTGCGTAGCCAGTACAGCCTTACGGGCAGAGGTCCTGGCCCATCGCCCTGAGGACCCTGCCCGTGCCGCCCGTCCATCGGATGGCACCACCGAGACCACCCACCGCCTCTCCGGCTTTGACTACGTGCCTGATAAGCATCTTTTGCTATACCTGACATGGCACGTAATTTTTTTTCTTTCTTTCTATTTATTTATTAAAGATTTTTGCCATTGGGTGCTAGACTCACCAGAGAGACAAGAGAGAGAGAGAGAGAGGGAAAGTGAGAAATCCCTCCTCCCCACCCCTGGGGGAGATGGCCATGATGAAATCCCTTCTCCTCCATTCTCTCCTGATTTTGAGCACACAAGCACACACACATCTGGTGTGGTTTTCAAGCTGCCAGGTGTGGGACTCAAACCATGGAGCTGGCCAGGGAGGGGTCCGGCACCTTAGCTACCATGGCACCTGCTAGCTCTTCACATACACTGTATAAAGAGAAGACTGTGTCATCAAGCAAGCATGGATCTCTCTACCATGCAGAGATTACGCCACTGCTGTGGTTTTCTGCATTCGTGTGCGTTGTTACTGTGGGTCTTACGCTGCCCAAGACCAATCACTACAGAACGAAACCACATGAGATTCGTCTATACGGCCAACTACCCTTTTCCAGGAAGCGCCTTTTATTAATCCTATGTGTTTACTGAAAATTTCCAAAAGGCAGCTTCAGATTCCATGTTCGGCAAGCTTTGCCCAAGATGCTGAGCTGGCTCCTTACGGCGACTGGTGAGGGCATGATCAGCTTTTAGGCAAATCTTCTTCCATTTCACAACTAGGGCATTTCAGGGAAACGTGAGTTAGGAAAATTTATATTTCCAGTAAGTCTAAATTTAGATGCAGTATAGCACTACTAATTGTATAGCCAACGTTTGCTGAGGGGATGGCGAAAAGAACCCTAAAATATTCGTTAGGGCGTGGTGATGCCATTTGATTTTTCCTTTTATGGCTGACTAAATGAAAGCTGGTTCCACCTACGTGGAGAAAGACAGGCAGTTTCATATCTCGGCTGCTGGCGATATTCACCCCAGAGAGGCCCGGGGCCAGCTGAGCACCCGCCTGCGGGTGAAAGTTCATCTCAAGAGGCAGAGCTCAAGGAACACAGGCTGGGGCTAGGTACAGCCAGACCACCCACCACGGGCCCGTAACCCCCTTTCCTTAAAGCACCAAAGGGCACGTGTGCTGTCAGGAGACAGAGGGAGGAAGCATCCCCCCGGGGCGTGGTCATGCAGTGGCCATTCTCCCGTCTCAGTCTCCTTCCATCTCAATTTGGGGCAGGCAGACAATCGCCCAACAGCGTGCCTGGCCTCTAGTGCCACCTTGTGAGGAAATGTGGTACTGCAGGAGATGAAAGAACGTTCCAAAGTTCCATTCTAGGGAGACCAAAAGCTCCAAATTATTTGGTACCAGTTTTATCTGGTAACTTACATAAATAAGTGTCACTCTGGCTAGCATTAGGTTTACTTTTTCATTAAACAGACGGCAACTTCACTTCAGAAAACACTAAGAAGTGCTGGGGTACGTAAGTCGAGCCCCTAAGGGGCAGGGCAGCTGGCTGGCAGGAGGGGCTGTCACACAGTGGAGCCTGGGAGTGCTGGGCAGTCCTACAGCCAGAGCGGGAGAGACCAGGCAGTTACTGCTGCCCGCCTCCCAGCTTCCATTCTCCTTTATGCTTTCAAACCCTCCCTGACCCCCAACTGATTTTAGTGGGGGGGACTGGCAGAACCTGCCCCTGGGAGGCACTCTAGGAATCCCAGGGCCTGGGATACAGAATGTCCCCCTCTACACTAAAAAGGAATCGCTCGTCCTCTGCGAGTTCTGGATATCTTACCAGAGAACTAACGTAAATGAAAAATCCACTTACGATGCTCAGCTCTGAAACTCTAACCTCTTTTATATTATATATCATCATGAAGAGGTTTTGAACAGTTTTCATACATACGGAATTTTCCAGGAATGCAACAACCTTATAGTAAAAGAAGATATTATTTCACTTGTTTAGAACTTGATCAATTGTTGGGACCAGCAGTTAGCGTAACGGCTATGTCGCTGGACTCCCACGTAGTCGACCATGGTTCGAGTCCCGGACCCGGTGGCATAAACTCATGCCGGGCATGTGTGCGTGCATGCCCAAGATCCCAAGAGGAGAATGGAGGAGAAGGGATTGCAGCGTGGCCATCCCCCCTGGGGGGTGATTTCTTGCTTTCTATCTCTCTGTCTGTCTGTCTGGCGAGCACATGTGCCCTATAGCAAAAACCTCTCAAAAAAAAAAAAAAAAAAGAACTTGATCAATTGTTTACTATTTAAGAAAATCACTGCAGGAAGGCCACTCAGACGTCTGCTCTGCCACACGCCCCAGCATTCCCACCTGCCAGGTTCACAGAGATTCCACGTAAGGGGCAAACACCGATTTCAGTATTTCAGCTCTTGTGGCTAGAAATACATACTGAAATGTATGAGTCTACCACAATTGCTTTCCTTTCTGCTACAGTTTTGTTTTTGCTTTTGGGTTTTTTTTTTTAGCCCCCCTCCCCATAGGGCACGTGCACTCGTCAGAGAGAAAGAGAGAGAAAGTGAGAAAAAAAGTGAGAAATCGCCCTTAGGGGGATGACCACGCCACAGTTCCTTCTACCCCTGGGATTCTGAGCACAGATGCTCGCCTGGCGTGAGTTTCAGGCCGCCGTGTCTGGCAGTCTGTCCTGTGAGGTCAACGGACCTCATTACTGAGCCCATTTATGACCCGGCTTCTGTTCTAAGCACCAGTGATACAGAAATTCTGGAAAAAAAAAAAGACCCTATAGTAAGGAGCTTTCAGAGGCTGTATGGGAAATAACCACGTGGAGAAAAGATCAGAGCACCCCCCCCCCGCCAGAATGTTCTGGATTGTGTAAGACATGCCCACCTAGGACGCAATGCTGGGTGGGGAGCAATAGCCCAAGAATAACGGAAACGTGGCCCCGGCTTATCAGTAGGGTAACGAGATTGGCGCAGATTGAATGTGACCCACGGAAAAGAAAGGGGCGTGGCGTGGCGTGGCGGGGCGTGGCGTGGCGGGGCGTGGCATCTACACCACCTGCGTGCTCGCTCTGACGGCACCGAGACACTTGGCCGGTTCTTTCAAACAGGCATGAAAGCTGAAGGGGGCAGCTTGCCGCCTGTCACATGTGATAGGTCCGACACCTGGCCTCGCTATGCCAGCGTCAGACTTCGGTAGGCACCTCTAGTTTCAGTGATTAAAATCATACCGCCCTTGGCTAACAGTCATTCAAGAGAAAACAACTTTCAAAGATAAACCTACACTTAGAAAATGTCTGGTCTCATTAATGTTAACCTCTTCTTTATTCCAAAATGCTTGATGGAAATTGCAGAAGAACTAAGATTAAAAAACAAATCTCAGAAAACCGCTTTGGTGATGCTCCATAAGCCCTTAAAACCAAATCTCCCTTATGAAGAGAGCTGGAGACTCGTTTCCTGGAAGACCATCCAACAAGAGCTTAGAACAATGCCACGGTGGTAGCTGATGTCAGCAGTTGCTTCTTTTTCCTTCCACGAAATCTTTACATTCTCTTCTTGCTTTTTTGCCATAGTGTGCTTGCCAGAGAAAGGGAAAGTGAGGGGGCTGCCACGCTGCAATCCTTCTCCTCCAACCTCCTCTTGGAATTTCGGACTCATGTACATATGCCCAGCATAGGTTTTTGTTTATTTGTTTGTTTTGGGAGAGGTTTTCGGCTATAGGGCGTGTGCGCTCGCAAGACCGACAGAGAGAGACATAAAGCAAGAAATCACCCACCAGGGGGATGGTCACACTGCAATCCCTTCTCCTCCATTCTCTTCTCGGGATCTTGGGCACGCACACACGCGCGCCTGGCGTAAGTTTTAAGCCACCAGGTCTGGGACGCGAACCGCGGTTAACTACGTGAGAGTCCAGTGACATAGCCATTACGCTAACTGCTGGTTCCCTGCCCAGCATGGTTTTCAAGCTGCAAGGTTCATGCCTCGAACCACGGCTGCCCATGTGGGGGGGCAGCACCTTAACCACCATGCCACCAGGTTCGTGACTCGAACCACAGCTGACCATGTGGGAGTCCAGCACTTCAACCACCATGCCATCTACTGGCCCCTCAGTTCTCGCTCTCTCTCTCTTTTTAAAGAATTTATTTCATTTTATTTTATTCATTATTATTTTGAATTTGCTATAGGGCATGTGCGAGAGAGAAAGAAAGCAGACCACCAAGTCCAGGACTCAAACTGTGGTCAACCATGTGGGAGTCCAGCACCTTAACCACCACGCTACCTTCAGTTCTCTTTTTTAATTGCCAGAGAGACAGAAAGGGAGAAAGCACCCCTCCGTGGAGCATGGTCACATCTAGCCAGGGACTGAGGTATGCGCGTGCTGGTGCCTAGTGTGTTTTTTTCAAGTTACTGGGCTGCAATTCAGGCCATGATCAGGTTGTACCCCCCAGAGACAGCAATCACCATCTACTGGAGCCCACCCTCCTCTCCATGATAATCCTCAATTCCAGCCAGTCCTGGGTAGAGCTTAAGGGGTGAGTCTTGAATATAAGGCTCATTAAGCTTCAAGAGACTGGGCCCTCCCAGCATGACCCCCAGCAAACTCTGGAAATGAAACAGATTTGCCTTACCTGAGAGAATGGCAAACTGCCTGTGAAGTTGCTCTATTAGATCCACGGCCACCAAGGGCCTGACTTCCTGCTGCATAATCTCATCTGCACAAAGGAAATACAAATGTGGTTAGATCCTTGTAAAGCAGAGATACGAAAAGGAAAGGGAAGTTCCACTACTAGAGAAACCTGGGCTGAAGGTAAGGCCAGCCACACACTGTGCTAACATGCAGGGCTGCATCTGTGCCTTGAAGCTTAGGCAGAGGACAGGGGACACATTTCCAGAGTCAATCCCCCAATTATTTTCCCACAGTCAATCGTGGTTGGAGTCCCAGGCCCGGTGACTTAAACTCACGCCGGGCGCGTGTGCGTGCGTGCCCAAGATCCCGAGAGGTGAATGGAGGAGAAAGGATTGCAGCATGGCCATCCCCCCTGGGGGGCAATTTCTCGCTTTCTGTCTATCTCTCTGTCTCTACAGTGAATGTATGTGCCTTATAGCAAAAAAAAAAAAAAAAAAAAAAAACTCCCCAAAAAAAATTAATTTTCTTTTTCATCTTTTTTTTTTGGGGCACGTGCACTCACCAGACAAAGAGACAGACACACAGAGAAAGAGGGAGAGTGAGAAGGCAAGCCTCCAGATCCAGGACTCGAACCACAGTCAGCGACGTGGGAGTTCAGCCACCTACTGGCCCTTATCCCAAAGTTTCTAGGGGATCTGAAGTTTAAGCTTCAGTAACTTCACAGGAAAGCAGCTGAATGGCTTTATTATTAAATTTGGTCTTTGCCTACTGTCCTGGGTCTGCAGAAGGCATTTTAAACGTAAACAGCACAAGTTCTCAGCATTCCTCTCAAGATGGATCACGAAATCAATTGGAGATTCAGGAGCATTCTTTGATTTTTAAATTTCTGTCCCTCCCTCGCTTCTCCCCTCCTTCCAGAACATATTAAGGGGCCTCTTTCCACTGCTCAACAGGCTGAAAGGGGTGTTTCTCCATTATGCTATCTAAAGATTTTCTTTGTGTATTTATTTATTTTAAAGTCTTTATTTCCTCCATGAATGAGAGACACAGAGCGAGAAACAGGCAAGAGACAGAACCCTCAACAGGGCCTTGATGCCACGGCCCCCTGCCTTTGGCCTGCTCCAACCATGGACGCACACATGCCCTGGGTACTCGGGAAGATCCCCAGGTGGAACCTGGACCCCTTCCCTGGGGTCGCCTCAGAGTCTGCATGTCACTGCTATGCTGCCCTCTGGCCCAAACTTAATAAAATCCACAAGTCTCCAAGCAGGAATTCACACCTGTTCAGCA